GCAATCATCATCACCAGCAAATCACACACACACTCTCACTCACGCAGCCACATTCACTCATCACCCACTCACTCATCACCATGTCATCGTCCGTTATCGTGCTATCGTCATGAGTCGCTTCAACATCCCACACCCTCTCCTTCTCATCACCATCACCATCGCCATCATCACGTACATTCGCTCGCATATTCATCGCAATCTTCACCATCACAATGACCATCACACATACATACATACATACATACATACATACATACATACATACATACATACATACATGCATACATACAGACAGACAGGCAGACAGACAGGCAGGCAGGAAGACAGACAGGCAGGCAGACAGACAGACAAACAGACAGACAGACAAACACACATACATGCATACATACATACATGCATGCATGCATTCATGCATGCATTCATACAGACATACATACGTACGTACATACATACATACATCATCACCACCACCACCAGCATGATCAACGTCACAATCATACATCATCGTCATCCTCACCCCCTCACTCACCATCCCCGTCACCACATTATCACAATCATCATCATCATTGTCACCATCCCACCACATCGTCATCATCATCCCCATCACCCACCATCACCATCATCATCCCATCATCGCTCACCAGCACTCACCATCACCACCACCATCATCATCACCACACACGTATCATTATCACCATCGCACCATGGCCATCGACCAAAAGGGAGCTTCGTCTGTGTGCGAATCGCGAGGGAGTCTCAGGCGGGAGCCCCCTACATGTTCGACTCGGAGCGGGCCATGGGAATCTGATATGTCGTCACTTCTGGGCTCCTCAGGCCTGAACATACAGGAATGCTCAGACGGGAGCCTCTCGTCTGTGAGTGGATCGCGAGGAAGTCTCATGCGGGAGCCCCCTCCCTATGAGGCCCGCACTTCATGTTCTGACCTCAGCGGGCCATCCAAGTCCAGTATCTGTCGTCACGTTTGGGCTCCTCAGGCCTGAACATAGAGGAAGCTTCGGGCGGGAGCCTCCTCTGTCAGTGAGTCTCGAGGGAGTCTCGAGCGGGAGCCTATTCCGTAAGGGGCCCGCACTTCATGTTCGCATCCGAGGCGGGCCATCGGAATCCTGTATCTGTCGTCACGTTTGGGCTCCTGTGGCCTGAGTGTGGAGGAAGTCTCGAGCGGGGGCCCCCTCCCTATGGGGCCCGCACGTCATGCTGGTAACCCGAGCGGGTCATCGGGAACCTTGTACCTGTCGTCATGTTTGAGCTTCTCAGGCTTGAGTATGGAGGAAGTCTCCAGCCGGAGCCTCGTCTGTGAGTGAATCGCGCGTGGCGGCGCAGAATTGCATGTCGAGGGGTTCGTTTGGGGAGTCTCTTTGGCGCTGGTCCAGAGCTGCGCGGAGGCGCAAGTGGGCAGACGATTCGAGTGAGGGGCGGAGGAGGAGTGTAAGGACGTGGTGGGGTAGGGGGGTAGGGGGGGGAGGAGGGGGAAGAGGAGGTGGGGGAGGACGTGGAGACTTGAAATGGTTGAGACATCCTCACAGTGCTCCGCTGCGTCTGAGGTGTCCCCAGAAATCCAGAACTTCGAGGGCCCAAATACGGTTCGCAATGTTTTGACGTCCGTTTCGTTCAGGGTTTCCGAGAACTTTGGTCGCCGAAATGCCCTGGCGAAATGTTTGTTTTATGCTTATTGTGTGACATCGACATGCGCGCCCCTGCCAGGAGGGAGGTGCATTAGTAAAGCAGGAGGGTGGAGATGAGGAGGGGGAAAAGGAGGAGAAGGTGTAGGCGGAGGAGGAAAAAGACGAGGAGGAGGAGAGGGAGGAGGAGGAGGAGGAGGAAGATAAGAATTGTAACGGGTAGGGAGGGAAGGACGATGATGATGATGATGATGATGATGATGATGATGATGATGATGATGATGATGATGATGTTAATGATGATGATGATGATGATGATGATGATGATGATGATGATGATGATGATGATGATGATGATGATGATGATGATGATGATGAGAAGGAGGAGGAGGAGGAGGAGGAGGAGGAGGCAGCAGCGGGAGGATGGCCTGCGCCAGTCGAGGAGGAACAGGGCGAGGGGCAAGCTAAATCTATTCTCATGTGGGGTCCTACCTTCGCAGTAATTCCGAATGGTTTTGTACGTTCTCGCAATGATAAGCCCAGGCACTTCAACGATCGGCCAAGATTGCCCACGGGGCCCCGACGAGCGCACCAAGACGGCCCACGAGTGTCACCCCCCCCAAGACTGGCCCCAGACCTCCTGATAGAGCTTCAGCTGGCCTCCCGACACGCCAACGACAGCCGTGGAGGCCCCGAGGACGGCCCCAGAGGGCACCAATGTGGCCCAAGGGGGCCGCATAATGGCCCAAGCGGGCTCCACGAGCTGTTGCAGATAACGGAGCCCCAGAATGGCTCCAGGGGGTCGTAGAATGGCCCAAGGCGGACCCATACTGTCAACGAGAGCACCCCAATACGTCTGGAGACCCGTCCCGCCGATTAGGGTTGACAAGGGGGACCTTCTCCTATCTTCTCTGCCTCGGCCTCCTCCTCTGGAAGCGTGCACCCCCCCCTTCTCCAGTAATTACCGCTCTCCTCCTCCCCCTCCTGAAAGAAGATGCAGCGAGACTGGACCCGCCGATGCCACGAGAGCCCTCCAGAGACAACTCCGAGATAGCCCAGACCCTCCTGGGACACTCGCAGACAGCCTCCAGCCAGCCGCAGAGCCCAGAGCCTGCAGTAAACTTGGGAGCCTGTCGGTCCCGAACGGGCTTGTGTCGCCTGCGATCGATGGGACTTGCCAGCCGTGGATGCTCCACGGGCTGGGCTCACACTAGTCTTCTTCTCTACACTAGCGGGATCAGTGCGTGCGAAGGCCCCCTCGAGTGGACTCGGCCTGGCCCCCAGCGCTCCTGGGGCCCCGGTCCGTCGCCGGCGCCCCCGGAACGGTCTTGGTCCGTCGCCAGCGCTCCCCGAACGGCCCTCGCCCGCTCGTGACGGATCCACGAGAGCCCCGAGCGAGCCCCGAAACGGCCCCCCCCGGGCCCCTGAAGGGCCCGAGTGGCCCCAGAGGCTCTCTTGACGATTTCGACAAGGGCTTCAGGGGGCAAAAAACATTGATTTCCCATTGATGTTTTCTGATTTTTCCGGTTCGGGCTTTTTCGAGCCGGAACGGCTCCAAAGGCGCCGCGAATCGTTTCAAGACCGCCCATAAGGCCCCTAAGAGGGCCCCAGAACGGCCCAAGAGTGCCCCAAGATTGCCCAAGATGGCCCCAAGCCGGCCCAAGAGGGCTCCGAGAGGCCCCCGAGACCCACCATGAGGCCCCCAAGAAGGCCCCAGGACGGCCTACGACCCGAGCGGCCTCAGAGCTACCCAAGAGCGCCCCGAGATGGCCCAGGAGGGCTCCAACACGATTCCAATGCGGCCCCAAGCCTGTCCCAGAGGGCGTTAAGAGGACGTGGCAGAAGCCCCAGACGGCCCCAGCGGCTCCCGGGAAGGCCCTAGCCAGCCCCAGAGGGTTTCGAGTCGGCCCCCGCGGTCCCAACATGGCTCCAAGACGGCGCAGGAGCTCTCCGGGGATCATTTTCGAGCTCTCTTGGAACATCTCGAGTGCGTTCTACCAGGGCGGGCCATCTTTGGGACCGCCACGACTTTCCCTAGAGCCCCGCGACATTGCCAAAAGGACCCCCGCAGGCTTTGAAAGCTTCCACATGGGCCCGTCCATGACATCGCCGCACAAACCTCCGAAACCCAATGTTTTCTCCGTGTGTCCTTGCGAATCGGCCCAAATCCATTAGGAAAATGCTCATTTCGCTGCTGGCGCCGCCCCGACCACCTCGTCGAAAGCACCCTGCAAATACGACAGGTTCGGGCAATTCTCGAAAACACCATGCGTTTCAGGCGAGTGCAAGGGACACACGGGACAGTGCATCGTGAATCCAACGATTTTTTTTTTCGGGCCGCAGGTTCCTTGGGACCCTCTCCATCGATCCCGCTTCATTGCCAGACTCCGCTGCCAGCACGCGCTGCTGGGGAACCTTGTCCGAACCCTGATGGACATCGGTGCCCCACCGACGCGTTTCTTCTGGATGTCTACTCGTACCTCCATCTCTTCAAAGACGATCACAAGACCTACTTACAATGAGTCGAGGAGGGGCAACCCTGTTACACCGAGCGCTTCGGGGGAAGGATCGGAGCGCTTCTGTAGTCTCACCGAGCGCCTCGGAGAGGGGCGGGCGGCGCTTCTGTTGCCCCCCCAGGACCGAGCCCTCCTCCTGGACTGCTGCTGCTGCTCCAACTCCTCCTCCTCTTCCTCCTCCTCTCCCTTCTCCTCCTCCTCCGTCCTAATCCTCTGGCTCCACGACTGACTTCGATTGACCATTCTCATCTTCTCCCTCCTCCTCCTCCTCCTCCTCCTCCTCCTCCTCCGCCTTCGTCGTCTTTTCTACTGCGTTTTAGTCGTGCGCCCCCCCCCCATTGATATCACACCCATGGAAATTCCAACATGTTTACGCTGCAGGCGGTGCCTGGGCGGCTTTGCATTGAACGCTTCCGATAAGCGTCATGTGTGATGTATAATAAAAGCCATGCTATTATGATGGTTACGGGGGGGGCTAACGGGAACGACCCATGGAAAGCCACCTCGACGGCGACGTCGTCGTCGTCGTTCGGGTGGGCCGATTCGCGCGAGCCCGCCAGCTCGCGCGCGCGCGCTGGCAGCCTCCGCCGTCACCGTCGCCGCCGTTGCCTTCGCCGTCGCCGTTGCCTTCGCCGTCGCCGTCGCCGTGTGCGGTACGAGGGAACCCGTCGTCTTGCGCGCCAGACCCGCTATCTGCGCTTCCGCCTCACCCGCCTCCCTCCGCCTCCTCACGCCGCAGGGGACGTCCGACCAGCTCCTCCCGTTCGGCTTCAGCGGCTCCCACTCTCGGTGTGCGCGATCGGGGTTCAGCACACCGTGGATTTAATCCACGGGTACACCCTAGTCAGCTACAGCGCTGGGATCAGCGCGTGCGTGAAAGGTGATCAGTGGCAGTGGGCCCTGGCGCTACTCAACGAGATGTTTGATGCGAACTTGGAGCCCGACGTCATCAGTTACAGCGCTGGGATCACTGCTTGCGACAAGGGCAGGCAATGGCAGCAGGCTCTTTCGCTATTGAGTGAGGTGTCGGAAGCAAAGCTGGAGCTTGATATTATCAGCTATGGCGTTGGGATCAGCGCGTGCAAGAAAGGCGAGCAGTGGCAGCGGGCGCTGTCGTTGTTCGGACAGATGGAGGAGTTGCATTTGGAGCCCAACGTCACCGATCCTACCACACCAGGAGCAGCGCCTCGAACTTGCAACTCGTGACAAAGCCAGGGGGGCCGCCGGGAGGGCCCGCTGGGAGGGCCTGCGCCTCCCAGACGGCCCAAGCGAGTCCAAGAGGCCTCCAAGTTCTTCGCCGAAGATTCTTCCAATACGGCCGAGAATGGCCTCAAACACCCAAGATGGCGTCCAGACGGCTTCAGATGGCCCCAGGATAGCCCAAACTGGCCTCCAGACGGCCGAGAGGCCTTCCAGAAAGCCTCCAGAGTGCTCCAAGAGCGGCGCATCCCAAAACGACCCCAAGAGCGCTCCCAGAGAGACCGAAGAGGCATCCCCAACGGATGGTACAATGCGCCCCCCCCCCCCCCCTGTTGTAGCATCCGTCGTGTGCTTTGCGAGGGCCCGCCGTGTCGGGCCCTATCGAGCCCCGCTTGTGCAAACTTTCGAGGTCCTTTGGGTTCTCCCAGAGCCTCCCTCCTGTTAGGCTGCAAGACGACCCGGGAGAACTGAAGACGGCCCAAGAGGCGTCCAAAACGATTCAAGATGGCCCAGGGGTGGCTCAGCATAGCCAGTATAGCCCTAGGTGCCTCCCAAGACGGCCAACGAGAGCTACCAGAGGGACCACAGATGCTCCGCAATGGGTGTTGCAAAGCAACTCCTGCTGTAGCATCCGCCGGGTGCTTTCTGAGGGGCCTTTTGGGGCCGTGTTCGGGCCCTTTCGAGCCCCTCTTGGGCAAATGTTCGAGGTCCTCCCTGTGCTCCCAGGACCTCCTGCAAGGCTGCAGGGCGGCCCAAGAGAGCTGCAAAGCAGCTCAGAGACAGCCCCAAAGACGGCCCAATAGGCGCCCAAAACGACCCAAGATGGCCCAGAAATGGCCCGATGGGGCCCCAGGTGCTTCCCAAGTCTGCCCAAGAGAGCCCCAAGAGAGCCCGAAGAGGCCCCCCAACGGCATCTGCCAGCCAATAGGCTGTCGCCACCTGTCGGCCCCGCCGCATTCCCTTGCCAGGGCACCTGCGGATTTGGCCCGCGGGTACCCACTAGTCTTATGGAGGACGATCAATGGAGAGGAATAATGTTACCAAATAATTTCCAGATGTCAAAAACATGTGTTAAAGTTGTCAAAACATGTTTTTTAGCATGCTTTAAACATGTCAAGGACACTTCCCGACATGTTAAACACATCTTTAATTCGATGCTAGGACTGTTAGGGTGTCCCTTCTGGCATCCGCAGCACTAGTCGATCATACAGCCCCGGGAGCGGCGCGTGGTGCACTGCTCTGGTGGCAGCGCCTGGGGGCCCTGCCCGACGGGCCCGCTGGGAGGGCCCACGCCTCCCAGACGGCCCAAGCGAGCGCCTCCAAGTTCGCCGAACGTGCTTCCAATGCGGCCGACGACGAATTCAAGATGGCCCAAGATGGCGCCCAGACGGCCTCAGAGGGCCCAGAACAGCCCAAGGCGGCCTCCATACGGCCGCGGTGCTTTCCGAAAGGCTCCTGGAGCGCTGCAGGAGTGTGCCCCAGCAGGGCTTCCTGGCGCAAAAATATTGTGCTTCCTGTGTTGTTGTCTAACATTTCGGACAAGCCCGACTCTGGGACCCTTGCAGCGTCCACGACGGCCCAACAGTTTCCAAGATCGCCCCAGGCCAGGCCAAGAGGCCTCCGAAGAGGGCCCCGACGCGGCTCCAGAGAGCTCCTGGACGGCGCAACATGGCACCAACCGGCCCCAAAACGGCCCAGGAGGCGCCCGAGACGACCCAGGAACGCCCCGGGCCGCCCTGTGAGGGCGTGGAGCCGCCTCCGCATGGCACCCGGGAGGCAGCCCCTGCGACGGAACCGTGTGAGGAAGCAGGGCCGCTCTTCCTCACATGGTTCCGGCCCCCAGGCGCAGGGCCCAGGAGGCCCCAGCATTGCGCCGGACGGGACCAGCGCCGCCCCCAGGGATGGGGGGCCTTCCCTCTCGCTGGAAAGAGGAAAGAGGAGGAATCGACGTGGTGGCGGTGGTGTAGATTCTTCGGGCCCTCAAGGGAGGGCCCACGGACGCACGATTCCAGAAACCAGAGAGGTTCCTGCGGCATGCACGGCAGGGGCCCAGCCGCTCGGGTTTGTGCTCAGCGGCCCAGGCTGCCCGGTCCTGGGGCGCGTGCTGACCTAGGCAGCACCCCGCCTCCCAGCCAGCTCCATGGCCAGTGCCTCCTCCGCCGCCTCCAGCTCGGTTCGGGCCGGACGATAGGGGGGGATAGGGAAAGGGGGGGTACGAAATCTGCTGCATGCAGCTGGTTTCGGCCCTGCCGCCGGGCCCATTCCTCGAGACATGGGCGCCTCCTGGCGCCGGGAGGCGCCGGGAAAATCAGCTACGCGAGCTGATTCTCACCCCCCCCCTTTGCTATCCCCCCTTTCGCCCAGCCCGATCGGTCCAGCAGCGTGGACGCGGCGAAAACGAGTGCCCAGGGGCTGCTGAGGCTGGTGACCCAGTGGCCACGCCAATGCTCTTCGATCGTGACCATGAGGCGCGTGAGTGTGTTTGCTGTGCGCCAGCGAATAGGCTGTCGCCGTTTGTCGGCCCCACCGCGTTCCATTTCCAGGGCCCCTGCGGATTTGCTCCACGGGTACACACTGTTCAGTTTCAACGCTGGGATCAGCGCTTGCGAAAGAGGCGGGCAGTGGCAGCGGGCTCTGGCGCTGCTCAGCGAACTGCGGGAGCGGGGGCTGGAACCCGACGTCATAAGTTACAGCGCTGGGATCAGCGCCAGCGACATGGGCGACCAGTGGCACTGGGCTTTGGCGCTGCTTAGCGAGATGCGAGAGGCGAGGTTGGAGCCTGACGTCGTCTGTAACGCAAAACTGGG